AACATTACTTGTTGAACTTGCTTAATTATTTGATCAATGTTAGAATGTGGCATTTGTGTGACTTCTTGCATACTTTGAGACATGTTCCTAAGTCATATTTTACCTAATTTGTGGTCCTTTCATGATGCTTAAAGCCTTGTCTACTTGTGCAATGTTGGTGTGCTTTTGTCCAATTATTAGAATCTTTAATCTTGAAATCTTGTGGCCATGACCCTTAGGGATTGTAGTGTGTGTTTAAGTCTTTCCTTTGACATGACTTTACTCATTAATTGATAGCTTGAAGCATGAAATAATTGTTCACAACTTCTTGATAATGCTTGATATTTTATCACTTAGTTGTTGGTTCTTGTGCCATGTTTCTTGATGTTTATGTCATTGTTTGTCATTTGCTTGTGTGATTATCATGTTTCCTGAGTTTGATTCCATCTTGTCAAGATGTGAATTCATTAGACCTTATGTTCTAAACCAAGCATGACAATACTAGATAGAGATCCCTTAATGTTTCAACCTTAGGACCATATTGTATGCAAACATTAGGTAGTTTTCCCTCTATCATCCTAACTTTAGGTCCATATTTCATGATAACATTAGAACATTGAGTTTCCCTTTAGATATTTTTATTTCCATTTTGCATTTGCATCTCTAAAAATAAAATAAAAAACTTATTTTCTCTTAATTAAACACTCAAAAACACTTAACAATAAAGAGACGAACCATATGTCATGAGAATTTAGTATTGGGAGAAGTATGAGGCGGTATAGTCTGAACCTTGTGCTTTCTTTCAATCATAGTATTTAATGTGGTTCAAATCTCAAACTCTTTTGCAAATAAGAGGAGAAGCAGTAAGTGACCCTCTAGTGGGATCCATTTTCTATTATCCCAAAAAATACTCAACCAATTCAAACCTTTTTGCCTTCGGGCTTTTCTTTTGAAAACCTTTTCAGTAAGAACATGTTAATTCCTTTCTACGAAAATTGTGTGAGTCTTCAAAGATCGGGCTGCAGTAGAATGTGAAGTTTAAACATTGTTCATTAAAAAATACACAAGAAACCAATTTTTTTAAGAAGAACTACGGTACTATGATTTCCTTATTGCACCATGAGGATACGTAGGCACTGAGTTACAAAATTCAGGCGAGCGGAATAATAAAAATCTTTATTTTTGTTTGTTAATAATTCATTCATGCATTCCCTTTAGTAAGTGTAAGTTTTAGATAACACACTCTTTGATTAGAACAAACATAGTGGATCCCGTTGAATATAACAAATATTTAGGGTGCTAATACCTTTCCTTTGTATAACTTACCCCCGTACCTTGATCTCTATTCTTTTGAGGGTTTTATTCTCTCCTTTCCCATTCTCTTTTGGAAACAATAAAGTGAAGTGACGACTTTCACTTTGTGAGTTAAGTCAATTAATGACTTAGTCTCAACTTTTTACCGTTACAGGTTCGTATGCCCTTTTCTAATAAGTTTCAAAGCTGGAATGAACAAGGATCTTAATGCTACTTGTTAGACGAAGACGTCTTATCTAAGGGGGGGGGGGGGGGGTGAATTGATTACCAAGTCAAAAAATCCAGATAAAATTCTTGTTTTAAAAATTAAGTTGAAAAGAGTGAATGCGGAAGGTTTTTAAAAATTGTCATCTATACGAACCATGTTATTGAAAGTCAGATATATAAATATAATAATGATTATGTAATGAATACAATAATCTATAATTTATATACTTCAATCAAGTAACAACTTATTTAACGTTTGTAGAAAGTTACTAGCAATACCATTTTCAATGATAACTAGCAAAATAACAAACTGAATAATTTGTTAAACACTTGGTGTGCAACAAAATTTTCAGAATTTTCCTTTGAGTTGAATGAACTAGATAATTTGTCGAACACTTCGTGTGCAACTGAATTTTCAGAATTTTCCTTTGAGTTGTGTTGATATGAAAAAGCACTTATAATCAAAAGTGATTATAAGAAAATCAACACACAATTCAAAACAAAAACAGTCTTGGAAAATTCCTATGATTCAATCGATTATTCAATGCTATTTGACAAATTGATATATGAAAATTAAAGTAAGTAAAACGATAAAAGAAAAAAGACACAGGGATTTGTCTTCACATTTCCCCACTTTTGTCCTCACGTGTGGGTATGTCTGTGTCTAATTCCAATAGAATTAGGATAATTCTTACTTTGCAAAAAGTTTATACAAGAGAAGTGTTCCAAGAGCAACTCCACAAACCCTAGCGTTTGTTTTTGATTCAACTCATTCTCTTCCTTTGATCTCGAGAAAGACCAAGACATAATAGTTGTCAATTGATTGTCTGGATCTTTCTACTAATTTGTGTACTTTATCTCCAAAGATTTCACGCACAATCAATTTCACCTATTACAACACAAGACTTCAATTTGATTCACTGTTATCGCGCTACTTCCTTTGCATTCTTTATCTCCAAAGGATCCTTTGCGTTATTTATTTCCAAAGGCTTTCACTAGGCCGCAATCCTCTCTTGAACGTCTTACACGAAAACACCCAAATAAACCAATGATCTTGGAGGATAAACCTGCGATTTTTCCGGATGAAGACCCTTGCAAATCTCAATCTAATATTCTCGGCTACACAAGAACCTAATTAGACGTTATCGAACATTGTCTAGATGGCAACCCAATAAAAGATTATTACGATGATTTGTTAGTGTGTATGTATAGGTTGGAGGTTGAAGGCAAAAATCAATTGTAGGAATTTTTTATGGTATCATCAAGTTAGAATGATGCATAAAATATGTATTTATAGTTATGGAAGTTTTGAGGCAAAAGAGGGAAATTCAGAATTAAAATAAGATAGAAAGTTTGACCCGTGAAACAGTATGAGTCGGCCTGTAAATTGAATTTTTAACAGCACGCGTCGTCCTAAAATAATTTACGAGCCTGTCATATCAAGACAGAGGAAAACTGCTTATTTAGGATAGTACATGAGTCGACCTGAAAGGCTCTATGAGCTAGCCTGACCAAAATAGAAGAAAATTGCTTATTTAGAACAATACATGAGCTGGTGTGTGAGGCTCTATGAGCCGACCTGTACAAACATGTGAAGTGCATAAAATGATTTTTGATGATTGGGAAAAAAAATTTGACTATGTTTCAAATAATTCCTTAGACCTCTAAATGCATAGGGTGCCACACAAACTCAGGATACCGCCCAATATATAGAAATGCTATATTCTTATAATTTTGACATCATGCAAAATACATCTAGAGGAAAGTTGCACTCACAGAGGCTTCCTTATACGCCTTTATGGATTCTAGGGCCCAATCTTGGGTGTTGCATGATCATATATTGAGACATAGTGGGGTGTATTTTATGGACTCGAATTTTGACAGAGCTTTAAATGGTCTTAATGTTGTGATTCCAGATTTTGACCTTAACAATTTTACTAGTAAGGACATCGTTCCTCCTAAAGCACAATATGTTTTGAAGAGTGCCCTTTTTAGTAAAATTGTTAAGGACATGGATGTGAAGTTTGAAATGACCACAAGACATAAGGAAGTTTTTGGTTGTTTGTAAGTCACACATGCTCAGGACTTTCTCCTTACTATTCCTATTGATGGGCTAGGCTAACATATGTCACCAGTGGAGTATCGTATTATCTAAGATATCACCTTATGATTCATTTATTTTCTATGGATGAGGTTTGCCCTGTTTGTTGTAAGACATGTTTGGATACATTTGGGGAACACATGATTTATTGTAGGAAGTTTTCAGGCTTCAAACACTGACATGACCTTGTTTGAGATGTCTTGTTTGATATATTCCGACGTACTAGAGTATCTGTGAAGAAAGGGGCACATGTGAATTTTTTGACTGACCCACTTGAGAGGAGATTGACACTTAGGCCAGTAGATGTTTTATTGTACGGGTGGGTAGGAGGAAACATGCTTGTGTGGACATGACGAGAGTTTCTACACTGGTGGGTTTGGGGGATGGTGGTTTTATTGTGGGACAAGCAGCTCTCAAAGCTGCTTCTAGTAAAGTGGTCAAACATGAGAAAGCGTGTTTTGAAAATCAACATGTTTTTATACCATTTGTCTTTGATATTTTTGATTTTTTAGTATCAGAAGCAGTTGATCTTTTACATAGAGTTCAAATGCTTATAAATAGCAATGTTGTATCTACTAGATCTATGAATATAGTTTATAAGAGGATTAATTTTGCGATTCAAAAGAGTTGTAATACGATTTATTGCTCGTTTGCCTTCTATTTTTGTATTGATCTAATTTAAAATTTTAGTTTTTAAAATAAATAAAAAATTGAAAAGAAAAATTAAACAAAAAGAAATTTAAAATTTAAAATTTTAAAAAAATAAAAAAAATAAAAATAAAAATTTAAAAAATATTAAAAAACCACATAAATTATAAAAATAAAATAAAATAAAAATCCAACTAGAATGAAATAGTGGGCAGGAGGTCTTATAAAAGAAATCTTGATATGAGGAGGAAAATTCTAAAAAAAATCTCTTACAACAACTAAAGCGAATCTCACATTCTCACTTAGTACCCTTTTGAAAATAAATACTTAACCTAGACTATCCATCACCACTCCTCCCTTCCATTGATTGAACCATACAAACAGACCTTGACTACTCTCCGTTTCATTGACTTAACAAATCAAACCATTTGATGTCAAACAGAATCATCGCTCAATATGGTAGATCCTATCTCAGATCCTGATCAATTAAAATTATACGCATACTTGAAACTCTTCTAGAGCTTCATGGGAATTATAACACCCTTTCACACCATTATGTTCTGTAGTACTATACCAAAAGCTCGTTAATTTGTGTTATAAACCCTAATAACATGCTGCGTAAGAAAGTAAAATTCACCTAACAATAATAATGTTATGTATTATTTCTCATTGCAATACTTAACAGGATTTCTAATAATTTGTATGATAACTTTACTGAAACATTTTGCTACAAATGAAGGTATTTACTTAATTACAATTTATCTGGAAGTATCCTTTGCCAGAACCAGTGTTTCCTCCACATAAATGCCATCTCTTCGATTGGAATTCCCTTGGTTTCAGGTAGGAACAAAACAACAAATATGGTCATCATGGTTATCCAACCAGCAAAAAACAGGAAGATCCCAAACTTGAATGAGCATAGAAGGGAAAGGAACGCTTGCGCGATCATGAAAGTGAACAGAAGGTTTACAGCGACGGTTATACTCTGCCCGGCTGATCGGATTTCTAATGGAAATATCTCACTTGGGACTGTCCAGCCTAGTGGCCCCCATGACCATCCAAAAGCTAGAACAAATAGACATATTGAAATTACAACCAATACTGAATAGCCTTTTGATAGTTCCTGGTTCTCTCCAAACTTCAGCCCCAAAATTATAGCAACTATAACCTGATCATGTGAAAAAATGAGACTATTATCAATACTGTACATATTCAACTTCCAGCATATTATTAACCAAGGTCATGATTCTAGGGTGCAAAGCAGACTATTACACAAGGCCTAAGATTTTGCACGGATAAACCGTGACTAGAAAGAGTTTCATAAAACATTTGTTACAGATAAATTGAGTAAAAATAGGACCTATGTTTGTTTTGTCACGATTAAGACTTACCTATATAGGGTCTCTGAAAACCTGAGACGGCCATGACTCTAATGTGCATTTGCATTATGACTCAAATGTGCATTTGCACTACAGAAAGAGTTCTCTAACCTGACATATAATCATTACTATTCCACCGCTGATGAGTAGAGGTCTTCTCCCCAATTTATCTACTGCTGCAATAGAAATAAATGTTGATAAGAGAAGAACTCCACCGGTCAAGGCTGAGGAGTAAAGAGACGCGTCTCTGCCAAATCCCATGCTTTGAAAAAGTACTGGAGCATAAAACAGAATTGAATTTATGCCAGTAAGAATCTGAAATGCAGGCATGAAGATAGCCATGATCAACTCAGGTCTGTATCTTTTTTCAAGTATGTTCCGAAAAGGGTGCTTTATTGAGTTTGCTAACTCGCTTGCTTCAACCATATCTTGAAACTCCGCATCAACATCATTAGTTCCTCTGATTTTTTCAAGGATTTTCCTCCCTTTTTCCGTTGATCCTCGCTCTACTAAGCTATTTGGAGTATCTGGAATATATATTCCTCCAACAGTCATCAAAAGAGCTGGTATTGCAGCAAGTCCAAGGGACAGCCTCCACCCCCATGGTTTGATATTGTGTGTACCAAAATTGATCATATTTGCTGTAAAAATGCCCAGAGTGGTTGCAACTTGAAACATCATGTTTAGGCCTCCTCGTAGGTGCGTTGGCGCCATCTCTGACAAGTAAAGTGGAATCGCCTTCAAAAGAACCATGGAAAAGAGACAAGTAAGAAAGTAATCTCGCAACTTGAAGGTATAATTGTCTCATTACCAATATCTTACATGATAAAGTTTGTATCTGCATAAGAATCCGAAAGATTATAGGAGAAATTCCGCTACCTGATCTCCAAAACCAATGCCAACACCAAGCATAATTCGACCTATGATAAGCATAGCTAGATTAGCAGCTGCAGCATTCAGAACTGACCCGATGAGAAAGCTGATACCGCCCACTATGATACTAGTCCTCCGCCCGTACTTTCTTGTAACGGGTGATGCCACCAATGATGCAAATAAACCAGAAATGTATAAAACAGAAGTGAATGCTGCAAGGACTTGATTGTTATACTTGCAGTAGTTGTTTTCGTGCGCGTGCATTTTTTGCTTGTACACCGAGGGGAAAAACTTGAGAAGAAAGTCATCCATAGAAGTAACTCCTCCTGTAAACCATAACACAATCATCAATTTTCTATAAAGATTACGCTTATTGAAGAACATGAAAGAGAATGAAATATTGCAGAACCTGAAATTCCAACATCATAGCCAAAGAGAGAGCCGCCAGTGGCAGCAACAATGCAAGCAATGATGACATGAATTGTGATTCTTCCTTTGTACTGCTCTGCTCTAACCTTAGCCACACCATCCTCCATTTTTTTGGATTACAGTTTCTGAGAGACAGAGAGCATTAATATCCTTGGCAAGTAAAGGAGAACAGTTTTTGGCTTTTTCAGGGGTAAATGTCACTCTCATGCTTTGTTGTATTTGTTGCTAGTATCTGCTAAGGTTCAAAGAATTTAAATATATTTAAACTTATGGAAGACTAATTCTAAGGTGATAGGTGGTAGTACCATAGGATTTGATTTTAATAGTAATTAATTGCGTCACTTACTAGATAAAAGTCTTTGAGAGATATAATTAGATCAGTTTCTGAATAAAAGTTACATACGACTTTTGATTCATTTAATAATGTACCTTTTCTTTTAGAAAACAAGTGTTCTCGTGTGCAATTTCATAAATTATTTTTTCGAACGATATAATAATGTATTAACGACATTTGTTAGTATTTTTGTCGGTAAATAATGTTAATAATCACTAAAAATTTAGAAACAATAATCGTGAAAATCAAAATTAAAATTTAGATACAGAAACGATAGGATCATTGAGGAGTATCTTATAGTCTTTTTACGTATGTCATGTTAGTATTCTTAGGAATTATCAAGACAATGTGTGTAACACTATCTTTTATAGAGGCTGTATAGTTAGTTTTCTTTTTGGACTTTTAAGCCATCTCTTTGTCCAAAAAAAAAAAAAAATAGAATAGAAAATTTCTTTCTCTATCCTATAGTCTAAAGAAATATTTTATGTATATTTTAAAATGTTCTTTAAAATTGAAAATATATTTTCAATACACATATTTCTCTATTAAACTTTGACTAGAAACCAGAAATACATTTGTAAAGTAAACTAGAAATATATTTCTGGTTTCTGTGTAAACAGTACCATAAAAAATTATGTTAGCAGTGAGTCTTTTTCCGCGTTGTTTCACATTGAATACAGAGATGTATATAACAAAACATACTACAAAGACATATAGAATAAAGACACACATATAAATAGATAGCAATAAACAGTACAAAAGGTGTCCATAATCAATATATGGGTAACCCAAAATATTATCCAAATATAATCAATAAAACGATAACCAAAATACATATACAACAATCAAAGACTATTGGATATGGAGGACTCTGAGTCGGCCCGTCACCCTCCCGGAGTTCCTTTGATGCCTCCTGTACTAGAGTCCCCTGAACTTCCGCCATGATAGCATCCAGAACACCTCTAATATCAGATCTATTAGGAAACAAACCTCCATCAATACCCGCCTGCACGATATCCATGATATGATGACACATAGGCAACACATCAGTGGCATGATCGGTCATAGCCCGCTCATCCTCTAAAATCTCCTAATAAGCTGACCTCAGTGGGTTTCCTTGAGTATCATGCACTTGGTATGAATGAGACACCCTGAAGAACCATATGATATAATCGTCCACGTAGCTCTAGTCATTTGAAGTAATGGTACTCCGGGCCTCATCTGGAACAAGATGATTCTCATAATCATCAAACAAGTCATCCATATCCCTGTGTTTCACCGGGGGAGAAGTAGATACAGCAGGATCCCGGGTAATGTATTGAGTGTACCCGAACTGACGCATGACGCGCTCAGGCATATAAGCAGCCGTCTTGCATGACCCACAAGCCAACCATCCTGTAAACAACACAACATCGTCAAATAGTATCGTGACACAATGGTCGACGTATGAATGAAAGTGTATGTCATCAAACACCAGCCGACCCAATATACACCTGGAACGACTCTGTCGACTGGTTCCCTCGTATGCAGTGGCACATAACTTATCTTCACTATAATCCGTAACAAGTGATCAACCCGAAATGCGGGGGAAGTGTTGTAGGATTCATCCATGAAATAACAATAATTATTAATTAGTAACAGAATCACAATAATTAACAAAATGTCACAAAGACCAAGAAATTTTACCGTCAAGAGTGTGATATTGCCGCTCATCTGCTCCGTCTTCCACTTACATCCTTCAGACAATTTCGTATACAAGTACATTAAACAAGCAGCCCCCAATTCCACTGATGGATCTGATCAAAATTATCAAAGTACCCCAGGTACGTCACATATGTATAAGTGATACTAGTGTCCATAGAAATCTCTGACAACCATAAACAAAAGGTATACTTTCATAGCAAACCTCAGGTGTAGGATAACCTGCTCGGGATCACCATTAGCCTCTCGTACACGTCTTATCTCATTCGTGAATATCCTCTTCAAACAACTATATCTGACGTAGGCACCATAAGTGAAGTCTATCTCAGCCATGGCACTCTCATGGGTAACTCCTAATTTCTCTACCAAAATATCCAACGCCTCCTCTTATTCAATCATGTAATGATCTAAAAATGCCCCTCTAATCGAAAGATGTAACAAAGATGTGAAGTCGTCCAATGTGATCGTCATTTCACCATGTGGTAGATGGAATGGAGACATCTCATGGTGCATGTTGAAGCGGTAAAGCGGAAAGCAAACATAAGTATTTATTTTAATATAGGTTATATCGTATCGTCACCACATGGATTAGTGCTACTGAATCATCGTTCGACAAGTCTCTCGTTAATGAGTTTGGGTTTAAATGAGTTTAAAATAAATGCAGGAATTAAAACTATTAACAGGAAAAAAATCATTCTTCAGAGAGAAGAAACTTATCATACATGCATATAATACACTCCTCACAAACATAAACACATCGATCTGTTATACTCAACCTACAATAATCGTCAAAATCATCAAGTATCTCTCGAAATGTTCCACAATAGAGGTTATGTCTAACGCAAAGTTTGAGACAACTTTATTACTCGCGTTGACGATCTCTCAACACAACACAAATAACAGAGACATTAAGCTCTGATACCCACAATGATTATTAGCTCTAAATTTATCTCTAGAATCTAGAAATTAATAGATATTCACTACGCCAAAAATTAAAAATAACAGTGCACCATAGACAACGCTCATTTCAGGAAGCGCTGCTATAAGTTAAAAAAATTAAAACTATAAACTAAATTAATAAAAAGCGCTGCTAAAGGGCATAGAAAAGAAAGTGCTTTCTTGAAAGCGCTGCTATAGGGCATAGATACGAAAGCGCTTTCTGAAAGCGCTTCTATAGGGCATAAATAAGAAAGCTCTTTCTGAAAGCACTGCAAAAATAAAAAATAACAGCGCACCATAGACAACATTCATTTCAGGAAGCGCTGTTATAAGTTAAAAAATTAAAGCTATAAATTAAATTAATAAAAAGCGCTTCTAAAGGGAATAGAAAAGAAAGCGCTTTCTTGAAAGCGCTTTCTTGAAAGCGCTGCTATAAGGCATAGATACGAAAGCGCGTTCTGAAAGCGCTGCTAAAGGTAGCACCATAACCATCGCTTTTTCCCAAAGCGCTACTATAAGTTCAAAAAAAAAATTAAAACATTGAAAAAAAGCGATGCTAAAGGCTGACTTTAGAAGACACTTCTGAAAAGTGCTGCTAAAGGTAGTACCATAGCCAGCGCTTTTCCCAAAGCGTTGCTATAAGTTCAAAAAAAATTAAAACGTTGAGAAAAAGTGCTGCTAAAGGATAAAGGCCAAACTTTACAAAGCGTTTTTGAAAAGCGCTGCTAATGTGCTACAGTAAAAATAATTAAAATTTAAATTAAAAAAAGTTATTTTAATTTATTTAGTCAAATAAAATAAAACAAAATGAAATAAAGTATTCCAGGAAAGCGTTCGTCTCTCTCACTCGTTTATCTCTTTCGATTGAAACCCTAAAACCGTTGGCCATCCACTTCGTCGAAGACCATCTCTCAGCTTTCGAACTCCCTCTGACTCCCTCCGTTCACTAGTTCACCAACTCTGTTAGCTTTCGAACTTCACAACTCTACTCCCTCCGACTTCGCATCCTTCATTCATCCTTCGAAGTTCAACCTCTTGCTAAACTCCTGCTTTCATCTGTTATTTTTAAGATATTTTGTGATTTTACAAATTCCATGCTTGTTAGTCTTTGTACATTGTTGTTGGTATTTGTAGACCTGTAGATTAATAGTTTACTTAGCATAACAACCATGTTGTAAGAAATTTTAAATTTAAAAAAATAGAGAGAAAGAAGCTTACAGTGGTGACGAGAACAAGAAGCCTGATATGATATTTCTGGTATTCATAGTTCTTTCTGATATAATTTTTGAGATTGTCATTTGGGTTGTCGTTGGTGTATCAAATCGTAGAGCTATTTTCAATTTAGAGGGAAAACACATTAATGGAAGGGCTTTTTCTCATGTAAATCATAAACTAGACAAAGTTAGGAATGACAGATGTAATATACATATTTCATTGGTAAACAAGCTTCTAGAGGAACCGATACCTATGAAATGTTTTGATTTCCTGTTGTGGTATTACTTATATTGTATTGGTTATTAGTTTAGATGATATAATTGAGATTTTGGTGGCACATGGTGAAGTATCTTTGTTGAAGTTTGTGAACCAAATTATGAAAAACTTGTGGAGAGAGATCTGATTTCCTTTCCTACCTATCATATAGCTGACAAGATATAATTTAAATTAAAAAAAACTTATTTAATTAACTACTAAATTAATTTAAAATTAAACATTGGTTTAAATAAGGTAGAAATACTTCTCATAGATTCATAAGATTTTTTTAATAAATTTTTTGATTTAAATATAGATATTGTTTAAATATTATTTTAATATAATATTGTAAAATATTCAATTTATTTAAGTTACTATTTTTTTGATTATTTTTAATAAATGAAATGTAATACAGTTTAACAATAATATGATAATTGTTTCTTTTTTTGGTATTATATGTTTACACTATAATGTAATGTATGTTACTACTAATTGTATTGATATAATTTTTTTGAAAGAATTTATAAGCTATTTTTAATTTATTTTCATAAAATCTTCAGGATAGTTGATCCAAATTTATCTGTGGATGATTTAGTTTTCAAATTTCAAGAGTGGGAGAATAGAATCAAAAGTTGTGATTTTGTTGTATTAGTGTCATCTCTA